TAAGGACATAAAAAGCACCAAGTCTCTCGCTCTCTATCAGAAGAAAACTAGTGATTGAGAAAGGGCCTGCTAAGCAATGAAAGGAATGTAGCTCTGTGAATGTATACGCTAGCTGTTAAGTTTACTTATAACGCTCACTGCTTAACTCTACTAAAAGATTGGGCTGAAAGGAGAGCTGCCATTTATCAGCCGGGAGGGTATCTGTGAAGGTGGTAAAACACCTGTCAGCTCTTTCTCGGATCACGAGTCCTCTACTAGAGTCTGCATCCTTTTCCAACACTAGTAAAAAGAAACCAAACTGCAACCACACTGAGTCCACCCTCTTCCAGAAGCAGGAACCTATCAGATACACGCTTCTCTACTTCAGCACTGTAGCTGGACCACTGTTTGGAAATTTTAGAAAACGATGGAAAAAGTTCTTGAAATAGCTCTTTCTAATATGTTGTTCTTTACCAACATTATTTTTTTAATACTTGACAGTGAGCCCAAGCCCCATGCTTGAGTTGTGTAATCCTAAAAGGATCATGCTAAGAGTTCCAAATCTTGGCCGGGCGGTGGTGGCGCACGCCTTTAATCCCAGCACTCGGGAGGCAGAGGCAGGCGGATCTCTGTGAGTTCGAGGCCAGCCTGGACTACCAAGTGAGTTCCAGGAAAGGCGCAAAGCTACACAGAGAAACCCTGTCTCGAAAAACCAAAAAAAAAAAAAAAAGAGTTCCAAATCTTTTAAGCACATAACATCCTAGGAAGAGCCTATCCCATCATCGCAGACACGGTAGACAGTTTTCTCACCCTTCACACTCTGTGGTCACTTGATAAACTAAGTTCATTAAAGACACAGAAAACAAAACAAGTGTCCAAGGAAGCTGGCAGAGCGCCTCCTCTGATGGTCAAGAACATCCATCCCACACTGTTCACTTAAGGACAGATCAGCAGCTGTGCCTGGAACCACTCTCCCCCAAAGGTTAGGAGGCGTGGTATCCAAAGGTAGTGGTCTAAATTTAACAATTTTGACTTACATGTCCTTCAGGCTTTGGAATGATACTCAACAATTGTAGCTACTAATGGGTATCTTTCCAAATTCAATGCCCATACTGAATTACAGTTCACTTTTCATCTAATGTGTGCAGCTTTTAACTTGGGGGGGGGAGCTCTACTTACCCAGGTGTACTAATAGAATTTGGTTTCTATACTCTTTTGAGCTAAGTAGGATACCCCAGTTTCCATGCTGAATACAAACAGTTAAGAGCCGAAGCTAGCTCAAGATATACAATTTCACAGGCTAACAGATCACACGCCGTGGAATGCAAATCTTCTGGACAAAGTTCAAACTTATAACATTGTGAGCTATTTTTCAGTTCTAAACAACCATTAGCAGAATGGAATACTAAAGAAATTACTATCATTTTTCCAATCCAGATGTTTTGTGCCGTAAATAGTTATTTTGGCAGCATTGCTGATGCCCACTCTGACGAGGGTCAGTCCCTGCTTCTTGGGCAAAATGCTGTAGAACTACTAGAAGAATCAGTCGAAAAATTCCGAGGAGCCCAGCATTTCTCTAGAAAGCCGGCTAAGAAGGCAATTTTCCTCAACTTGTTTTCTGAGAAAGAGAGTTAAATAAAAACCATGGCCTGCCTTCAGTGAAGTGATTTACTTCTCAACCATAAGTTCCCAGTAGGCTCTGCTTTGACTAACACCATCACTTCAGAGTTTAAATTTCATCTTCTAACTCAAGGGCACAGCTCTAGCCCTGCCCAAGCCTTCCCTTTTCTGGGGCTGGCAAAAAACAAAACAGAAATGTTATTTCATCACCCAGGGTGGTAGGATGTAGAACCATGAAATCTCCATTGCCAGAGGGTAAAAGATTTTGTACTGAAGCAAATTAGCATCGGTGAGTCATATCTTGAATGTCCTGTTAGAAGAATCATCCATCAAATATTTTAAGAGCTACACTTTCACTTTCCACCATGTTATCTGGAAAGCAAGCAGGTTATTAAAATTTGCTTAAAGATATAAATTCAACAGGATGTTCCAAGAAACACAGTTTATTCTCTATTTACCCGCTGAGTAACTGAAAATGGGCACCGAATGTCTATTTGTACCTTTCCTTAGGAGAGACTGAAAGTCTCTTTCCTCATTGTCCTCAACTCTAAATTACAGCTTTTCCAGCAATTTTCACAGCACATACTACACGTCCAGGATCAAATATGAGCTTTCACATTTCCTCATCAGGCGAAAAAAAATTAATGGGTTGGCATTAACTTTATCCAGGAAAAGAATAGTCAAAATAGCTTTTAAAAGTATTTTATGGGATCTTTTAACTAGCTTCCCAAAGATGAACTGTGGGTTTCTCCTTTACATAAAGAACTTGTTTTGGTCATTCTCCATTAAGTTTCTAGATACTTGGTCTAACATTGTTTAAACCACTTCCATGGCTCATCAGTCCTTTATTGTAAAAGGACCATTTGTAAGCTTCTTCTAAAGAAGGCATTTGCCATCTCTGCACCAACCCCCATGCCAGCTAGTTCTGTATTTTTTTTTTTTTTGCCAATACATTCTTAGGTTATCACTTTATTAGCAAGCTCAAAGCACAATAAAACCAATACTAGATAAGAAAGATAAAGTGGGAAGTTCATGAGTTCCAAAATCTTAAGAATTCTCGATTTTAGTAAGTCCATTTATTTCATTAATTACTTAAAATCAAAATGCCCACACTTGAAAATATGTCTTAACACGACAAGCCAGGTTACACAATAGGTCATTTTGTGTTCTCCAGTTCCCTATATTAACTCCACCGGGATGGGACCAGATGCTGAGAGGATAATCTTTTGAAGATTCTGCATTTCCAAAGCTCTCAAGCGCCCAAGCTACGCGTCTGGAATTTCACGAAGCATTCATAGGAAAATAACTCAAAAGAGGCAGGCGCGAAGGACACACTTTAAAGACGAGCTGCTTCCTAACGTTCGGTTCTGAAGTTTCTACGTGAGCTCATCTCTACTGCTCATCAATGTATTTGCAAACAGAAACGAAGCAGGGAAAGAAAGTTCCAAACAGGGGTCCTGCATTAAAGCGGCCGGGCAAGGGGACGGCTAAAGTATCCGCTACGGTAGCTTTGAAGTTTCTAGCAAAAAAGCGAATACCCACACGCCACGACTGACTCCTCTGGGGGCTTTGTAAGCGGACTTTGCGCTCGCACTCCGCTTCCCGTCGCCCACTGGGCCGGAGCGAACGTTCCGGCGGGCCGCGAGCGAGAGGCGCTCGGAGAAGGTCGGGCCTGCAGGAGTCCCGGCCCCCGCCGCTCCCCGCCCCCGCCCGGCCCCGCCAGCCCGGGGATTCCCCAGGCTCAATGGGACGGCAGCAGAGCTGGACAGAGGCGCGGGGACCAGCTGCCAGGGCTCCGCTAGGACGCGGACTAGGCACGGGAAAAAGTTTGCAGAGGGGAACCACGCTCGCAACACCCCGGGTCGGGTACACCCGAGGGGGCGGCGAGAAGGGGGAGTGGCGGCGAAGCCAGAGATACCCGCTATTCGCGGGATGTGGGAGGAGGGTCAGAAAGTCAACACACAAGCACACACACACACACAAAAAGAGAGGTGACGCGAAAGCGCGAGCGAAAGATGGATGGGGACTCGGAGCGGGACCCGGGGACCCCCTCGTTGCGCCGCGCGGCCGGGTCGGGCGCGCAGTGGCCGAGCGGCCCGCGCTACCCAGCGGCCCGGCGCCCTCCTTTCTCTGGGCCGCCGCGGGGTGGTGACAGCGACCGGCCTCCTCCCTTCCCCTTCGGGGCGGGAGGGAAGGGTGTGTGTATGCGTGTGTGCTTGGGGGGGCCCCGGGTTCACCCCGAGGCCTGCTTCTCCCCCGCACCCTGTGAGGCCGCCTCCTTTCACCTCAGCGGCCGGGCTCCGCCGGAGCGGGCGGGCGGAAAAACAAAGGGGGATTAAGGCCGGGCCGGAGAGCGGAGCCGGGAGGGGAGGAGCGCCCGCCCGAGCCCGGCCCGGCCCCCCTGGCCCCCCGGCCCCCCCGGGGCCCCCAGTACCTGGAACAGGAACGCGGTCCAGTTGGCCTCCATGGCTGCGGCGGCCGACCCCCCTCCTCCCCACTCCCCCCGCTCGGGGAGCCTCCTCAGCCGGAGGAGGCGACAACAAAGCGGCGGCGGCGGCGGCGGCGGCAGCGGCAGCGGCGGCTCCTCAACATGGCAGCGCCGAGCGCGGCCACTTCCGGTAACCTCCGGGACGCACCACCGCGGCGGCGAGCGCGGGCGGGGGGGGAGCCCCGGCCCGGCCGCCGCCGCCCCCAGCCGCTCCGACCCCCTCCGGGCGTCCCCGCCGCCGGCGCGCCGCCTCGGAGCTCAGCCAGTGCCCGCGGGCGGTGGGGTCAGGGCGCCCGCGCGGGGGCTGGGGTGGGGCCGGGGGCGGGGATGGGGCGCGGCGTCCCCCCCCGCGGGGGTGTGTGATGCTGCGGTCCGTGGCTCAGGCAGCTGGAGCAGGGGGAGCTCAGGAGAGAAGATGGAGGACGCCAGGGTCTGGCGCTGGCCCGCTGGGCACAGCTGGGCAGCCTTGCGTGACTCTGATTCGGTGCCCAGCGGCGTCGCGTCCCTATCATACCCTCAGCAGCAGTCAGAGCTCCGGTCGGTCACCTGGCTCCTTAGTCGGTCAAGCCCATCACAGCTTCCACCTACGACCTAGGGGACGCTGACGTCCAGTGCCCCTGCCCTCCGGGATTTTCATAACTGGCCAGCTAAGCCCTCAGCACTCTTGCTAGGATAACGCCATCGCCCTTTGCGTGGCCTTCCAATTTGAGCAGGGAATTCCACTAGGGTACAGCCTTAGATCCTCCTAGTGTGGAGGGAAACACTTCCCACGCGTTCAGATGTCATTACTGGGTTATTCTTGGGTGAAGGACTGTGCTTCCCCATCCTTCCCTTTCATTCCAGATACAGCAAATTATATTTTAAAAACCCTCTCCCGCCAGGGTTAAAAACAATAAAAACAAATGAGAAAGTATAGAGACAAAATTATTTTAGTCTTTTAGTACATTTTTCACCCCTCCTCCCCCAGAAAAAAGTCAGACTTCTGGTTGGACAGCGTCAGATGTCACTGAGGTGACCCCAGCCTGTTTGCAGTTCCCAGTCTTCTGTGTAGGAGTCAGCCACTGCTACTGGTTGGAATCTGTAGATCATAAGCCCGAATGAAGTCTTGAATGTTTTCTATCCTTTCCTCACATAGAGGTAGCTACTGTGAATATCAGAGACAAGCTATTATTAAACACGTGTCTCCAGTCCCAGAAATCTGTGGTGGGGAAATGAGGGGGCAGGCTCCATCTATGGTATTTTTATAAACTTGTTTTTAAAAATTCCTCAGATGGGCACATTATTTCAGGACTTCAACATATTTCAAACTGACTCTTATCCCCTCCAGACACTTCTAATGAAAGACACATCTTCAACTTCCCCCAATATATGATCCAAGTAGCACAGTTGCAGAACTTGAGAATAGAAACTGAAGAGGTACAGTAACTTGATCTGTTTTCCCACCCATTAAACAAGCAAATATATTCCTCTCGCACTCGTCCATCAGTCACCAGAATAAAGGGGCTGGGAAATGATGGTCTGGTTCCTTTTAGTGTTGACTCCTCATTAGATACTGCCTGGAGGCCTTGGGTATGAACGAGAAGTCCAGCAGTTTGGATGGATCAGTAGCCGTAACCACCAGAGAACTGGTCAGCCTAAGACAGGAGGGGACAGAGAATGAATGAGTTTCTGATATATCCATCAGCTAAACTGCTATACATTCCCTGTGTCTCTTGATGTTTCAGAAAGCAGAAGTTTGCATATACATGTAAACTAAGGAGAGAACTAAGATGCAAACCTAAGGAACCAAGATAACTAATATGTTTTTGCTCTGACCTTGGACATAGTATGTCCCTGCATTTTCTTTCAGTGGCTACTAGTCTCTGCTTCTTCCCTGCCTCAGAAGATTCATTCAAGGTCTCTGTGTGTTTGCTTTCCCTCTTCCTGTGTATAGCTGCTGCTCTTTAGCTACTCTTTCAAACTATGATCAAAATGAAGCTTCAGGACTACAAAACCATTCTAATGTCAAGACTGTGGGATCTAGAAACCCCTTCCCCAGCAGTTCTCATAGCGCCTCTCAGTAGGGGTTTCCCCATGAACAGGAAGTAGCGGTCAAGTGAAAACAGTTAAGCTCCCATACAGAAGAGCTAGATTTTAGGGGGAAATGGCTAATTTCATCTCTATCCATCAGATAGAACTAAAATTCCTGATTAAACTCTTGCCTAAAAAGGAAATTAACCATCTTTTTAAAATGTTCATGTTGTATTTTTAATTATGGGGTATATGTGCATGTGGAAAGCAGATTTCCAAGGAGGTGCTGAATTCTCAGGAGCTGGAGTTACAAGCAGTAGTGAGCTGCCATGAGGTGCTGGGAACTGAACCCAGGTCCTTTACAAGAGCAGTATACACTCTTAATCACTGAGCCATCTCTCCAATTTAATGAAAATTTAAATATTAGATCTTTTTCATAAGGAAAACCACCTCAAAGTTTGGAACATGTACTCAAAAACAACCAGATTCAACTTTTTCAAGGAATATAATCAAACCAACTAAGAACAAGGACTCCATCCTTAAAAAGGGCATTTCTCCTTTTAGGAGATTAACCATAAACAAAATGAGTCCCTCTTAATGAGGCCTGTTTCCACAGACTTCATATTGAAGTTCAGTCAGGATTACAAATGTCCAAGTTCAGTATATTTACCTCAATTATTAAAACCAACTTTCAGTGAATCGATCAATGGTTCCTAAGCCAAAAACAAAACAAAATTGTATCTGAATCCCCCCCACACCCCTCCCCAAACAAGTCAGGTTCCAAATTCACTCTGTTCAGATTCCCCTTTCACCTCAGACTGTCACTCATCTAGATCTACACAATATGGACAGAATACCTATCCCACGAGGGCCAACTAAATAAAAACTGTTATTTAAAATTCTTAGAATACTGCTAAAATACAGCAGGTGCTAGGTAAATATTTTTGCTGGTTCAGTGGTCAAATTGGAGCCTGAAAACTCAGAATGCAGATCCCGAGCCAATTAATCAGTCTTCTCACTCTGAAAGAGGCAGGTTTTCTATTATCTCATTCCAAGAACCCTCAAGTAGATAGCCCTAAGACTAATGACATATGACAAAGATGCCTATTAAACTTTGTTTTTCTAGACTTAGAACCCAAGAAGTAGAAAGCAGTTCTGCTGCTGTCAATTGCCTGTCCCCAAGTAAGACTGCTTAAAAGAAAAAGAAAAAAGACAAAATCCAGAACTTTCTTTGAGGACCAGCAAGACAAATACACCTCTAGGACTTGTCTGGAAACATTACCCCCTGGCTCAGTTCTGCTAAAGTATCCAAAGCCTATGGAAGAAAACCACCCAGTATCTCGCAAGTAAAAATTATTTAAATAAAAATTTTAAAAAAATCCAGAACTTTTAGCAGAGAATGTATAGTTAAAACGAAACTTCAGGCTTGGAGTAGTGGTCCATGCCTTTCATCCCAGCACGGGAGGCAGAGGTAGGCAGATCTCTCTGAGCTGAAGGCCAGCCTGGTCTACATAGCAAGTTCCAGAGCAGTCAGAGCTAGAGACCCTGTCTCAAATAAAACATACTATAAATAAAAAACTAAAAAACAAAAAAAACCTTAAAATTGGCAAGTTAACATCCAGCATGTGCACACACACACACACACACACACACACACACACACACACACACAAACCCAAAATCACAACAAATAACCAGAATTGGCTAGAATGGTGGCACAGGACTACAATTCCTCTACTTGGGAGGGTGAGGAAAGGATTGTAGAGTGTTGAGACTAACCTGGGCTACAGAGTGAGTATAGGTCAGCCAAGGCTACTTAGCAAAACCTGAGGAGTGGAAGGAGGAGCTACAATTAATACCAAAAAGTAGTGGCCATAAAGAAGTGTCACCGCTCAACATCAGCCTCAATACAACCATGGGAGAAAGCATACCCCTGCCAGAAAAAAAGGGAAGGCTTGCCAGAAGGACAGCACAAGTACTCTCCTCCCTTTGACTGGAGAACCACTCCAACATGTCATTGCTAGCTGTCTGTTTTAATTGGCAAGATGAAGAGGAAAACAATAAAGATTTCTTTATTCCTGAACACCTATTTAAGTTCCTTGACAACTTGAATAGTCAAGTCCAGCTGGTATTCGAACCTGATTAAAAGTATTTTTTACAAAAGGTCATGACCCAAGACTTCAAAAACTGAATCTAAGTTCATAGAAACACATTTTTCATCTTAACTCTTTTTGACTATGTCAAAAATCAACAATATACCTATCAGTTTCATTCATAAAGCATTTGTCAAAATGCTAGCTTCCATTTTATAACTCTTGGGTGACAGAATACCTAACAAGTAAGAGCTGCAGGTATAACTCCATGGTAAAACATTTGTCTATCATGTGATAATTCCTAGATTTAAGCCTCAGTAAGTAAAAAGGAATAGTGAACAAATAATAAGCAAAACAGCATAGGCCACAGAAGGAAAGAAACAAACACAGGTCAAAAATACACCAAGAAATTTGATACATCTGGAAAACACATTCAGGCACCAGCACTTCTCCTTGGGCACCTGTTCCTCACTCCCCTGAGATGCCCCAGGTCCCTAGAGCAGCAGATAACTTAACAGTCCTACAAACTTAGTTGGCCTCGGTTATATCATCAAAGCCTCTAAAGTTGCTGATTTAGACAGATCCCTTCTCAGTGGCTACTGCTTCTACACCAAATATATTGAGAATAAAGTGAAATTCATCAGCATGATGCCATCAATCTAAAAATACTATTTACATGTAAAATTTTTACTAATTGTAGTACCTCTCCAAAAGTTTTTATGAAAAGTGGAACAAAGCCAAACCTATTTTGTAAGCACCCTTTACTTCAACAGAAACAATCCTCTTCAGTTTTTCTTCTACTGGCCCACTTTGATTTTCAGTCTGTGGAGGTGGGTTGTTCCTCAATTTGTGGTAGTGACAGGAAGAGGGAAATCAGGAAACCAGTGTTGAGGATCAATGCAGCAACTTCTCTGGGTTAAAGAGGTGAACAGCAAACATCACAAGACTAGCCAGATTAGAGTCTGGAAAAGCTGTTCTGGTCTAGAAAATAAGCCAAATGAGGGCGACAGAAGACCAGGTAAGCCTAAGATCTGACTCAGCTTCCAGAAGCGGGAATGAACTCTTTGAAGGATGTTTCTTGACCTTGAGTCTCTGAACTGTAAGGTACATTTGGTTCTCCAGTCCAGGCATAAATGATATGAAAGGGCAGGTAAGTAGTTCTCTCTACAAAGGGACAGAAGCTGTACTTAATATTTCCTTTTTTCCCTCAGCCCATCATTTACTCTTTAAATTGTAATAATATATACCTGCTGTTGTCCAAATACTTGATCCTTAGTTTCCGTGCACACTGGCAGAGGGCTTTCTGCTCAGTTTGAAGAAATTTTAGGACAGGATAGCATTCGACTCAGGGGATTAGTACTATGGCACGCAGGAAAGACTAGCTATTTCTCTGACGTACCTGTGGCCTCAAAGTATACAAGGCTCTACTCTACTGACAGAAGTTTGGGGACCTGATCCTGCCCTCTGCTTTTGTTTTACTAATCTATAGAAGACTCATCCCTCCCCTTCCAGCTGTTCCCTAACTTCCTCTTTCTTCCCATCTCTTCTTTCACTTTCTCTCAGCTTTCATTCAGCACTGGAAGCTCAGTTGATGGTAGTCACCCCGAGGCAGCACAAATGCTTCCTGTGCACTAAGTGTAAAGCCCACTGCTAGGTTTGTAACACACACCATTTCTGGTCTGGGTATTCACTTCAGATAGGAACGTCACAGTGTAGTTCCGTTCCACATATGAAAAGTATTTTAGACTAACTCATTAAACTACGTATAATCTAGGATGAAAAACACCCCTTACTGATACCTGTATGTTTGAATTGGTAACTTAGAGCAATTTGTCTATGGCTACATAGGAACACTTAAAAAAAACTAATGCTAACACCTGAGGAGGCCCCCATACATGTTTAATACATTACTCTATTTCAATGAAACAGTTATTCTGATCACTTATGAAAGCTATATGAGCCAGGCGGTGGTGGCGCAGGCCTTTAATCCCAGCACTCAGGAGGCAGAGGCAGGTAGATCTCTGTGAGTTCGAGACCAGCCTGGTCTACATAGTAAGATCCAGGACAGGCACCAAAACTACACAGAGAAACCCTGCCTCAAAAAACCTAAAAAAGAAAGAAAAGAAAGCTATATGAAAGTAGCACACGCCTTTAATCCCAGCACTTGGGAGGCAGAGCAGAAGCAGGCAGAGCAGAAGCAGGCAGATCTCTGAGTTTGAGTCCAGTCTGGTTTACATGGCGAGTTCCAAGACAGCCAGGACTATATAATAGACCTGCTCTCAAAAAAAGTTATACGGCAGAAGGTTGACTTAGTACCATCTACCAATCTTCTCATCAGAGAACTATGAAAATTCAAGCTAAATTCAAGCTAACTTAACCAAGGATAAGATGAGAGGTTTTCATTGCTGGGAGAGATCCAACACTTGCTTAGCATAGATAAGGAACTTTGCTTGAACTCCAGAACAAGACAAGAAATCAGGGGTGAGATGGCTCAGCGGGTAAAGGTGCTACTGCCAGGTGTGACCATCTGTCCTTGATTCCCACCAAGCTGTCCTGACTTTCCACACTTACACTACAATACACACACACACACACACACACACACACACACACACACACACACACACACACACGATGGAATAAAACATTAAAAATGGGCTGCAGAGAAGGCTCAGTGGTTAAGAGCACTGGCTGCTTTCAGAGTACTGAAGTTTGATTCACAGCATCCACATCACGCTTACAAACGTCTGTAAATCTATAAATTTTAGGGAACATGACACCCTCTTCAGGCACCAGGCAACTCACATAGTGCAGACATACAGGCAGGCAAAACATTCATACACGTAAAATAAAAATTAAAAACAAAGCCAAAAACCTAGTGGGATGAAAACACATCTAAAGGAATTCAAGGAGAAAGGGAAAATGACATCACAAATCCAGTACTTCAAATCAGCAGTGTATTCAGTCTCTCCTAACAGCTTCACTTAAAGAGAAATGGCTTACATAGTCCCCAATCAGGCCATGATGAGAATTCAAAATAGAAAAATGCACTGAACATTTTGAAAGGCTAGTCAGGGCATCTCAAGGACAACCTTCCCAGTTTACATGAATTTAAATCAGTTGTAGGCTATATTCAAGCTAAGTATAATGCAAACATTTTTACTGCAAACTAGAAATAGGCAAGTTCACCAGACCAACTTTAAAAACTTGCCTATCCAGAATGCTTAATAATTCAGGTCAGCCAAGTGGTGGCACATGCCTTTAATCCCAGCACTAGGAGGCAAAGGCAGTCAAGTCTAGTCTAAGAAGTGAGTTCCAGGACAACCAGGGCTATACATGAGAGAGGGGGGAGAGGGGAGAGGGGAGGAGAGGGGAGAGGGGAGGGGGAGAGGGGAGAGGGGAGAGAGAAAAGAAAAAGAAAACTAATCCCCCTGCCCCCCCCCCCATTCAATTTGGGTTTGCTTTTGTGGATCTAATTTACTAATACAGACTTGAATATATGCTCAGCCAATGCAGAAGCTGGGGACCTAACTCAGCTGGTAGAATGCTTGCTTGCTTGCTTAACATGCAAAGAGGCCTGGGTTCTACTCCAAGTGCTTCATAAACCAGGCATTGAAGTCTCTAGACCCTGTAGTCCTAGCACTTAAAGGGTGGAGGCAGGAAGATCAAAAGTCATCTTTGGCTACATAGCAAATTTGAGGTCAGGCTGGATGTATCTCAAAAAACAAAAACACAAGTAGGGATCTTTTGACATTTACCATTAACAGGTCCTTTGGCATCCTACTGTCTTTACAGGGCTGCTGCCTCCTTACTGAGTGGCTGGCTAAGCCCGACCTCTGTGTGACCTGTTGTCCTTCCACGGGGCCAAAAAAGGGCAAAGGCTTTTCTAAGCTCTGTTCACTGCACACTGGAAAGCCAGGAAGTCAAGCATTTCACTGTCTTGGAGCTGGGCTCTAGGCCAAAACCAGGGTTGAGAACACAGATCAGACAGTACCATGGGACACCCTGGTGGCATGAGGTAGTTACTGCAGATGGTATTCACTTTTGTTTCTTCTAAAGAAATTCCCAATTGAAAGGGAGGTAGAGAGAAGGGAGGGGGGAGCTAGTTAGTAGTAAGCAGAGGATCTGGATTCATGTTTTAGTCTTACCATTTTTAACATCTGTAAGGTATTTCTTCAAACTCCAAAATAAAGTTAGCATTAAATGAAAAACTGTCAGCACCATTTGAAAGTTAGCCATTACTTTAAGAGTCACCAAATCCACCAGGCAGTGGTGGCACACACCTTTAATCCCAGCACTCTGTAGGCAGAGCCAGGCAGATCTCTGTGAGTTCGAGACCAGCCTGGTCTACAGAGAGAGAGAGAGATCCAGGACAGGCACCAAAACTACACAGAGAAACCCTGTCTCAAAAAAAAGTCACCAAATCCAGGTTTGATGGTGCATGCCTTTATTCCCAGCATTTGGGAAATGGAGTTTAAGGCCAGGCTGAACTATGTGATACCGCATCTAAAAAACAAAACAAAACCCAACCACAATAAACATCATATATACATCCTATCCATTTTCCCAATAAAAAGAAGAGAGAACAAGAGCATGAAGCTGAGGCTGCTACTCTGGGAATAAGCCAATTCTGACCAGAGGACACATGCATCACAGATCTAAACTAAGTAACTCATTTGCCTCAGATTTTGCAAATATATTCACATTTATTCTGTTGTGCATGATGGTGTAACTGGGCACATTGCAAGAAATTCAGGAAATTAAAAAAACAGGTCTGGCTCAAAACCATCTGTAACTCCATTTCCAGGGGATCCAACAAGCATGCATATGGCACACATACATGCATAGAGGTCAAATAGTCATATATGTAAAAAATATTTTAAAGAAACCCCCAAACAAAGAGCCATGTACCTGGCAGTGGGCAAATATACATTAAAACTTTAACAATCTAAAGAGAATGCATTTAGTTCATACATGTGACATCTAAACATGCAAAAAGCAGAATAGAATGCCACTAGTTCAACCAAAAACTCTTCAGCTATTAGCTAATCAAGAGATAATTACTTGTTTTTGAGGTTCACTAAGTAGCTCCAGCTGACCTGGATTTCCCTATGGAGATCCATCTACCTCTGCCACCATGCCTGACACTTAGTTGTGGTTTTGTTTAAACTGTTTAAAGATTTACTTTTATGCCACAAGAGGGCCTCACATCTCCTGGAGGTGGGAGTTACAGGCAAGATGTAGGTCCTCTGGAAGGGAATCAACTGCCCTTAACCACTGAGCCATCTCTCCAGTCAGCTGGAAGAATTTCTAAGTTAAAGGAATGAGTGCGTTGTGGAGATTTAAATGAGTTAAGTATCTGTATTCTGTGTTGTTTGGCTTTGAGTTTTCTCAAAGAGTTATCAGCCTGAAGACTAGGGTCAGGACCTGAAGTAAGAGTTTCTAACCCCCCAAACAACCTTATATGCTAATGTATAAATTTCTGTAATGTTACCTATTTGCTGTCCAACAAAAATACTGAGGAATCTACAGTGATTCTGGGGAAGGGCCACTAAATTCAGGTCATATTTAGGCTTCCACTGTAAGAATCCAACTCAGGGAAAGATGAGAAAATGAGACTTTAGAAAGTACTTAGGAACAATGCCATCATAGTCTTAAAACAAGTTGTCACCGGACATGGTGGCACATGCTTTTGACCCCAGCACTGGGAAGAGGAAGGCAGATCTCTGAATTCAAGGTCAGCCTGCTCTACGTATAGCCTCTGCATAAAGACTCCCAAAAAACAAAAATCAAACACCCAATGGACTATCACAGCTATCACTGTGTAGCCATCTTCCCTTAGCTTCCTTGTGCTGAGATTATATGTATCACCAGATTGATGCCACCTACTAGTGGGTTTTTGTTTTTGAGATAGTCCTGCTCTATATAGCTAGCTCATGATGACCTAGATGCTCCTGTCTCAGCCTCTGGAGTATTGGAAGGCTGGGATTATACTGTGCATCACCAATCCTGGCTTCTTGTCATCAAGACAGTTGAGATGTGGCCCAATATTAAAAATACAATCCTTTTTATAATCTAGTCAGTTAACTAACAGAGCGCCCATACCACTTTTCTCTCTATCATTTCCTGCCCATTTAAACCTGCAGCAGCCCTGCACTTGGTTCTTGGGAAAATAGCCACTAAAATCCCATTGGATGGCAAAAATTAACATATAAAAACATTAAAATAAATTGAGGTGATTAAATGCATCTTGTAGAAAATTACAACTAAGTATTTAGCAAGTGCAAGAGATCTGGGTTTGATTTCCAGCATCCACATGCAGGTTCACAACTGGTCCCAGCGGATCCTACACTGCGTATGTGGTGCAGAGACAAACATGCAAGCAAAACATAAGATACTTTTTTAAAAGTTCCTAAAAAGGCTTTGGCATGTTGACTTTTCAAGATCAAGAATAAGTATAACTTGAGCTGAACCTTGAGGCCCGTTAAGATTTGAGGCAGTGAGACTGCTAATGAGGAGTGTATTAAGCAAGCAGACACACAAAAGCAAAACCAAAGGGTCGGTCAGTTAGCATTCCCATGTCAAAGGGACATGACTTAACAGTGATTAAAAACTGGAACGGTAAAATATAATTGACAAATGGTAGTGACATTTTAGGAAGATCGTATTTGATAGCCAGGATGAAGGCTTCTCACTGAAACCAGGTAAAATACATCAGTAACAGACCTGAGTACAGACAAGAATGCTGAAATGTCAAGTGGGGATGTGCGACAAATTTAAGCAACAAATTTCCACTCCGATTTCAGTGGCACTTGGGAGAATTTCAAGTTGAGAGTTGAGGTCAGTTACATAGCGAGACTCTGTCTTAGAATAAATGAACTCCAGAACTAGTCTGGTTCAAGTCAATAGACATGGTGGCACGGAGGGTGAAGAATGAACTTGGCTATTACCTCGCTGAAATTTACTACTCTTCTCACTTCAGGGGAAGCAATTTTTTTTCATTTTAGTTGTTACAGTATGTTTACTGTACAACTTACCAACATTTTACATTTCTAGTCTTATAATGTGCTATCACTTTAGTATTCTGTAGCTAAAATCTCCAGGGCATGCTGTTACTGGTAAATATATTTGAGCCCAGGACTACAGTCATTTTTAGGTTTCCATCCCTACTTGCTACAGCCTGGAAAGGACCCCCAACTTAACTCCTGAAGTCCTCTAATATTTCAACAATCTTGTCATGTCCTCTGACATTTTAGCAATCTAAACTTAGCCCTTCTTTTATTAAGAGAATCATCTGTGTAATGAAAAGCTGGAATTTATCAAGCTTTACACTGGGCGTGGTGGCGCACACCTTCAATCCCAGCACTGGGGAGGCAAAGCCAGGAGGATCTCCGAGTTCAAGGCCAGCCTAGTCTACAGAGCGTCCAAAAACTACACAGAGAAACTTTGTGGGGGGTGGGGGGAGAGGAAGAGTTTTATCTGATGTAAGTATAGCCATTAGAGTGAACAGGAAAAGGGCAGAAGACACCTAAGACACAGGTGCAGGATTCCTAAAAAGAATCCATTACAAAGGGAATTCAGAGTGCCTCTTTTACATGTTAAATTGATTCAAGGAGACCAAGCTGGCCTTCAAATGGTAATCTTGTCATAGCTTATCTGAATGCTGTGGTTACTGTGTATTATCACCATACATGGCTTAATAGTGTTCAAACTTGCAGCCCCATGTATAGCCTCCAGCACTTTTAATAAGCAGGGAAATACATCATATAAATTTGATCAGTGTCTTCTCAACTGCAAAAATAATTTGTCCACTTACAATGTCTTGTTTTCCAGGGCTAAAGAGATGGCTCAAAGGTTAAGAGCAATGGCTGCTCTTCTAGAGGACCCTGGTTCAATTCCAAACATCCACATGGCAGCTCACAACTGTCTGTTCTAACTCCAGTTCCAGATGTCAGACACCCTTACACAGACATACATACATGCAGGCAAAACACCAACACATATAAAAATAAAAAGGAGCTGGGTGGTGGTGGCGCACGCCTTTAATCCCAGCACTTGGGAGGCAGAGGTAGGCAGATCTCTGTGAGTTCAAGGTCAGCCTGGTCTCCAAAGCGAGTTCCAGGAAAGGCGCAAAGCTACACAGAGAAACCCTGTCTCGAAAAAAACCAAAATAAATAAATAAAATAAAAAGGAATCAATGTCTTATTTTTCCAAGTGGCAGTTTTTTTTTTTTTTTTTTTAGCAGTTCCCACAGAAAGGAGCATGCATTTGTGTCCTTTCCTCTGTGGGTGATTTTGGGGGGAGGGGAGAATAAAATTGGGACAGAGAAGCTAATGGTAACAAACTTTCACTCTCAGTAATCTCCAGCTCTTAAACGGTCAGTAAATAATCATGTCAAAAGACCTGTCTGTACTGGGGCTGGAGACATGGCTCAGGAGTTAAGAGCACTGACTGCTCTTCCAGAGAACTCAATTCCCAGCACCCACATGGCAGCTCACAACTGTTAACTCCAGTTCAGGAGATCAGACATCTTCATACCAATGCACATAAAATAAAGTTTAAAAAATTAATTAAAAAAGAGGTCTTGTATAGACTTTTTGGTCACAGCACAGCCTGCCTACAAGATAACTAAACTGACAAGGTTGGGTACAAGTTATCATTAAAAGTTCATTAGAAATACATTACTCCTAAACCTGCCAGAGAGAAAAAGATCTGGAAGTATACCTACTTCCTGTTATTCTAATTTATAGTTGAGTTCCTCTTAGGGTAACCACTATTCAAAACCTACATGGATTCCAGTCATGTAAAATGTAGAAGAGCATTGCTCATTGATTACAGGAAGAAAACCTAGCCAAACCGCCTAACTTCACGGGTGATTAATAATACTGTAATGGCATTGCAGTAAAGCTCATTTCCTCAGTTTTGAAGCAGAGCTCCCTCTTGTGGCCAACTGATTTTCCCTATTACTTAATAAAACCACTGCAGGGAACAAGTCATAGATACTAGTGGTAGTTAAGTATCCTGTATGTCTCTCAATTGCAGACCCCTTCACCAATAGCTTAGTTACTGTACATCTTATGTTATAGAAATCAAGATGTTTACTGCCTCCATCTTTTTTTAAGATAAAGCACTCAGCTAAAAACTCTGCTTTACTTACCTAAATGGGAACCTCACAAATAAGCCATGCATGACTTTTCTTTCCTCTGTAACCCACTGACACTATCAAAATGCTGTAGGTAAGTCTTAAGTTGTACATAGCTCTGTGGTAAAGCACTGACCCAGCATCTGAGGCCCTGGGTTCAAATTCTCAGCACACTAAAAAATACTGTTACCTCTGGAGTAGATTTCTGGAATTAACTTGTAGAGAACATCAATTTATTCTATTTTCTGTGTACTATGAAGCCAACAAGAAAATATCCTCCCTTTGATCCCTACAAGGCACAACCAAATTCTAGATTATCAAACAGAGCTTCCTAACTTAAAAACAAAAAAACACCAGCACTCTGAAATTCTCAACCATGGAAAGTTGAGTGTTAGTTTAAATATGCTGTTAACTTCTTTGCTCTAAAGCAAAAAAAAATTTTGCAAGATTTATTCAACAATTACAGTAAAACTTTTTCTGATCTCTTCACATTTTAATCTTTCTCATAGAACCAGAATGGGCAAGGTTCCTTAAGACTGATAACAGACTTTGGAGAGATGGCTTGTTAAGAACACTCACTGCTTTTCCAGAGGACGTAGGTTCAGGTTCCCAGCACCCCACAGTTCACAACTGTCCAGTCTCCAGTTCTAGGGGAACCCAGCGTTTTCTTCTGGTATCCAAAAGCATCACTCACACAAAGGACATACTTACGCACAGAAAAAACACTCCAACACATAGATATAAAAACCTTAAAACAAAAACCCTACAAACTCTGAAATCTAAACCCCTACCCTTAGGACTGCACTACATGTTGTGGGTATATTCCCTTCCATGAAGTAAACAGTCTGCCAATGTCAACTATATAGTAACAGAATACACTAGGTGGGGGACACCTTTTCTTCTAGTATCTGATTCAGTCTAAAAGGATGGAGAACTTAAATCTCAGTAAGGGTTCCAAAGTAACAGCCTTTTATTCACTCCCAAAATGACATAGCAGCACTAATCCTCTGTAGTACTAGTACAATTCTACATAAAACTCCTTGCCCGTCGAGATGTATTTGGGACTCATGGTTGTTCATACTTTACATGAAGATCTTACCACATATACCATATATATAAAAATACCTTCAAAAATGCCTGTGCAATTTTGTAATCAAGAGTGCACTAGTATTTTTGCTGGCAAACTTGTTAGTGACATTAATTACACAATGAAGGTAGCATTCTGGTCAGATTTTACATTCAACTGGCTCAACAATCCCCAGTATTCAGGGGCTTTTTTTTTTTTTTAATGATTTCAGAATTGCAGATTGTCAATCTGTCTTCAAATCATGATAGAAATAAGTCACAGTGGTTGTTACAACAGAACTCAGTCTAATACTTTCTCTCCTTTTAATTCTATTTAAATACGTGTATTTTATTTCATTTGTAATTTAACTACAAATTTCATATACAAAGCAAAAAGGCAAACACCAGAAACTGACCTTGACCACAGGAAGCTGCGAACAGCACCAGTCCTACAAAAGCATGGTTCATAGACAAAACTAGGAAAAGCTGACCTTAGCTTTTATCATATGCAACTCCAGAATTAAGATGGGTGATCTACAAACACTCAAAATTACTAAAAAGCTTGGGGGGGGACACATTGCAAGAGAAATTATTCATTCCAAACTTTAGTTCTTAAAATTCAGATCCCAAACTAGGTATCAAAATATGTCTTACCTTTGTCTCCAGTAGGATGAGCTGAACAGCAAGTTGGATTATTCAATCAGATGTTATGCAAAGTACTTGCTTAAAGAGATTTAAGTGCTTTCTTGGTTAGAAAAACTAATCAGAGTCCCTACAATATCCTAAGGGAACAGAGAAGGGGGGGTGGAAATCAAGGTAGTATTTTTATTTCCAAAATGGTATAAATTGTTAGTATGGGTATAGGCCTATTTAAGACTTAAAATTTATTTTTTACAAAAACTGCTCTCTAGTGTTCAAACCCAAGCCTGTATGGCAAAGAATACTTTTCTCATTTCCAATCTAGGGCTGAACTACTTAAAACAGATAACCTTGAATAGAGACCATTTTTTTGGTCCTATTTCCAAAGCATTCAAAATAGCTCACATTTGTTTATATTTAGCTCACATTCACCTTTCAAGATTATTTTAGTAAATTGGGCATGGTGGTTCACATCCATAATCCCAGAGTTAGGAGATAAGATTGCTTTGGAGTTTGAGCCCAGCCTGGGCTATATACTGAATTCTGGGAAAGGCTGGACCAGAGCAAGGCCATCTGGAGGGAAAACAACCCACCAATTGAGAAGTTTCCTCAATATATTTGAAAACATTATATTCACATTTAAACTTTTAATCATGCCATGTTTAATTATGCTAATTCCTTAAAGATCTTTTCAAAAGCAAATTTCTGCCCCTTGGTTATATTTTGAATTCTGTAACTACAGCTACTTAAGCTGAATGAGTCTACATTGCTTTACCTAAAGTGAAACCCTAGTTTTGCACTCAGCACCTTCTCTTCCAGGAGTCTTTTTTTTTTAAAGTTCATTAAAACATACAGGTTGAGTAACCTCATGCAAATTTCTTGAACCTATCAAGATTCCTGGTCTCCCCTATATGTTATCTTATATCTAAATAACCTGAAATTCAATCTGCAACACAAGGGAAAGATTAAAGATCTAGCTATTTCTACTGGGATACTGATGAGTGGTTTATTCATTCTAACTAGAAGGAAATCAGAAACTTGGGATTTTAAATAAAATTTCCATACTCCAATCTAAGCAGGGGCTATCAGATACAACAGTAGAGTTAAGATAGAATTGCTGATTTAATACAGAACACTAAGTTTGGGGACAGAATACTCTTTATGGCTTAAAAGATTTACAAGACATTGATTCACCCAATAAGCAGTTAATCTGCCAGCATACTGTCCACAATTCAAAGTTTTGCACTACATTCTAATTCCCCTGCTAATGTTAATACAGGATTTGAGTTTCACCAAGGATCTCAATGGTTACCTCTAAGCTAATATCTAAACTCACTAGCTATCAATCAACTTTGCACAAAAATGTATTTGCCTAAAGTATTACCAAAATAAACAGCACCTATAAGTTCTTAATCACACTTTAGCAAAATATGAAAGCTTAATTTCCAGACTATTACCCCTACATAATTGTACTACATACATGACTGCCTTACACTCAGTTTATTATCCCCTTAAGACTTCCACAACAGTAAGAGACAGTTATTATCATTTATTAGAATTTTTAATTTACTAACACATAGACAAGTCAGAATCTTATCAATTTAAAGAAATAACTGATACACTAGTTACTCAGCAAAATTTTACATGAAGAGGAAAAAGGACAACCATGCATCGTTTTTTAAAAAATGTTTATTTTTCAAAGAAAAACGGCAATAGCCAATTGGAAACCTACTTATTCTTCAACTCCAATTTTGTTTTCTTTAAATTTAGAAGTGACTTACTGATTTACTATTTTAAACAAACCCCCCCTTTCCCCTTTAAATGTTTACCATCTACTCGTGCTGAATCCTTCCAAGGAGATTGCTCCAGCGTATATCTCCAGGTCCTCGCTTTGCTCCTTTTACCAAAAAATGCAAAACACAATTCCATCGTGCATCTTAAGGGCTCCAATCGTCAAAAATAGGAAAAAAACTCTTTAGAATAGCCAATTAAGTTGAATGAAAAAAAAATCCACACGAATGCGGTTTGGTTGGGGCAGGAAGGAATCCACTCCTATGTTCCTGGTAATCTGATCCCGCTCCATGAATCCTGGTAATTCATCCTCCCTATCCTATCCACATTATGATTTGAATCCAATGATCCAGCTCCAAGGATTGGGATCCAGTGAGCCCTCTCCAATCCAAACCTTTATAACCAGCAAAACCAAAAAAGAGGAGGCAAAATGTTAGATACTGTAATCAAAAAAGGTTTCTGGGGAATGATGAGTTATGTCTGTCATCAGTTTAACAGATGTACATCAATAACTATCAAATTCCCCAAAACAAGTTTCTGTATGGTGTTTAGATAAATTTTAGAAACTTAATCATTATAGAGACTAACTGGAAGAAGCACTTTATATTTACAGTTCAACTGATAATGCCAACACTTGTTATTGTACAGGTATCACAGGTTTTGTGGCTGCAAAGTTATGTAATTGAAGTTTACTGGTACTGCTACCCACCTAAGTCTAAACTAAATCTATTGCTCCCATCTGCAATTTAGCTTGTAAATTAAAGTGTTTTAACATGAGTCAATTATGAATATTAAAAGGGAAGGTGAGACTTAAAGTACTCCCAACTAGATTATCTACACTAATACGTTGGAATTCTATATTTTGCTGTCATTTTGTCTTTAAAAAATGAAATAACAACGCTCTATCAGTCACACAGAGGACATGCAGATTTAGCAGTATTGATATTATACTCTGTTTGGAAATAGACACCCTGTACCCACATGTACACCAACAGCAGGCCACACATTAACAGTTGTAACTAAGCACTGTGACAAATTAGCCATTCTTCCCACATTAGTCCCTATTAAAACAAAAAGGGGGGGAGGGAGCAAATAACTGTTACAAAATGGGCAATTTTGCCACAATTGCCAAGGTTTAAAAAGCAAAGCAATTGTAGCTAAAGGTAACTGCATTAAGATGTTTGCAAGTGTTTTAAGGTAGATAAAAATTTTCACCCTTGTCTTTTAGTATAAGGTCAATACTGCCAATTTCATCTGTGACAATAGCACTTGGAGTCATACCATTGCCTCCATTATTGATCTGATCCTCCTCAATCCTCCTTTTGACAATCCTAAAATGATTGAAATGTGCTCCACAATCCTTAATCCAAAGCATTCTTAATCCATCTCTTCAGATATGTCTACAGAAAGACACATGAAAAGCAAGATAAACATAAGAACTTCCCCAAGTAAGATAACCACAAACACCCCCAACATCCCATTTCACACAAACCAGAGCAGAATAGACATTTACACAATATCACAGTCTGAAGAGCATGGAAATTAACTAAATTTAAACAGTCCTGTCTATGACATCACTTAAAATACAATTTACCAAAGACGTGAGGGGAATGTAGATGTTAGGAGCAAGGGGATATTACACAAGAATGCAAATTCAACACTTTAGCCCATTCTGAACACAACAGCTTGAATTAAAAAAAATGAAAAGATTGTACTGAGTAAAGGAAAACTGTATACAACATGGGTTCTACAAAAAGTGTCACCAATCATCTTATGTACGAGAGCGAGATCTGCTATGACGGGGAGAATAGCGTGGTGATCCTCTGCTTCTCCTTGGGGAGTAACTGCGACTCCTGCTGTTGCTTCTGCTACGGCTTCTGCTACGACTACGGCTTCGAGAGCGAGATCTTCCATAACTTGGACTTCTGGGCCCATCAACTTTAACCCGGATGTAGGCAGTTTCTCCCTATTGGATAGACAGAACTTTCCATTGAAAGATCTCAGCTTTCACCTGTCTTCAGACATGCTGAATGAATACAAAGACAGACCAGGTCTCTGGTAATTTACATGGACACCCTTGCCTGTATCCTTACCTTCACATTCCACTGTTAAGAACACTGTATCCAATTCTGGCCAAAGAAAAGAATAAGTGTATAACCTACCTCATGAGATCTAAACTTAGTGTTATCCAGTTTTCGAACTGCATACGTCATATCTTCTTTCCGTACAAACTCCACGACACCAGTGCCATCTCGGTAAACATCAGCATAACATACATCACCTGCTTCACGCATGTGATCCTTTAAATCCTGCCAGCTTCCACTCGGAGGCAGTCCTGAAAAAGTGATTTCCCCCCACTTAATGCTAATTATCCTGTTCCACGTTAATGTATAATGTACATCGGAACAAAGATTATTTTAAAATACTTAATGATTGTACTTAAGTGTTTCCAGGTAAAGAGCTGGTAAGAGTCTGAGATCCAGAGTCCATACTTATTTGTAAAGGATCTTCATAGGCTAGTACTGCAACCTAATTTGGGTTAAATCACCACCACAGTAATCTTTATTTACTAAATTCACCCCAAAGACCGAAGCACTTTAAGACCCCCGTGGAAAAGAAAAAAAAAAAAGAAAGAAAGAAAAGAAACCAGACAGCAAAACTTGTCGTTGCCAAACCAGTCCCGCGGGGGGACGACGTCTTTTAACCCACACGGGAGTCAACTCACCAGAGACAACCACTCTGTTTTCGGACCGCCGGGAGGGCGGGCCATAGCGGCCTCTCGGAGCTCCGCCGCCGCCGCCCCCGCCGCCGCCTCGGCCTGTCCCGCGGCCGCTTCGGGGGAACTCCACCCGCAGACGGTAGCCGTCGTAATCGTAGCCGTCGCGACCGTACACCGCATCTTCCGCGTCTCTGCGTGATCACAGAAAGCACCAGGGGGATGAGGGAGCGGCCCGGCCCGGCCGGCGGGCCAGCCGACCGACCCCCCGGCCCGGCTCGCCAGCCACTCGGGAAGGCGCGGACGGACGGCGCACATGCGCACCCACGGCGCCGCCGGGGCCCACATGCGCCGCATAATAGGGCCGGCCCCTCCCCCACCCAGAACCACGCCGGGCAGGCTCCCGACCACCACGCCAGCCCTCGGGCGCCTCAGTTTCCCGCTCCGGGGCTGCGCATGGGCTCTGGGGACGTCCGAGGCGGCCAGCCACCGGAGACAACACGCCGACTTCGGCTCCTTACTCGACTCCTGCAGGGGCGATAGCGCCTCGCTCCCAGCCTCGGAGCCCCTCCTTCCCTGCACACCCCCCCACCGCCGCCGCCGCCGCCACCCCCGCCCCGCGTTATGTTCAGGCCTCGGAGCCTTCCCCCCCCCACACACACCCCAACTACTCCAGCCTCTATCTCCTCTCAAGGCCGCCAGCCCCACGCTGCCTCACCGCGGGTCCTCGAACTCAACGAAGGCGAAGGGAGGTCCCCCGCGGCGGTTCTTCAGGTCGATGTCGCGGATGGCGCCGTATTTGTAAAACACGTCCTCAATGTCCTTGGTTCGGATGTCCGGAGGTAGGTTACCCACGTAGATGCGGCAGTCGTTGTTCCCCGCCGGGCCACGGATCACACCACCTCCTGACATGGCGGCGACGGAAAAAGCGCGGACTCGAGGAGAGAGGCCTTCCCACCAAGCCTAGCGTACGGCAGAGCGAGCCCTCAGCGGCACCACGTCTCCCGCGGCCCGTCCAAAATGGCGCCTTTATCAGCTCGGCGCACTGATATGGGGGGGGGGAGGGGGCGAGAGGAAGAGAAGCCGGAGGAAGCGGCCAGGCCGCCTCAGTGCGCACGCGCACGGGCCGTAACGGGTGCTGAGAAGGGCGCGCACGCGCGACGTCACCCTCCGCACGGAGGGGAAAAAGTCCCTGGCGCCCCGGGGCTTGCGGGCTGCCTGCTGGGTAGCGGAGCGGCCAGGCGTTTGGTAAAAAAATGGCAGACTCTGGCGGAAGGGGTTGTCGACGCCCGCCGAGTCCAAGGGTCGTCTGTCTCCACAAGCGTGAACCCTCTTTTATAGCAGCCCGGCGCTCTGATTTGGTGAAACCTAGCCTGCAACCGTGTCCCGCCATGCTCCGCGGTGGTAACGGCCTTTGGCGGGAAAGGCGACGGGGGCGGAGCCAGATGATGCGGAGCTGTTGCTCCGGAAACCTGGGCGTCTTCAGCGCTTGGGCTGGGCCGGCGGAGCTGCAGGTGATTCGTTTAAGAGCTTGGGCGGAGCTGTGTCTTGGGCTGCTACGAACCTGCGGTGGGCTGCGTTTTAGTCAATTAGGAAAGTGTCTAGGCGGATCCTCCACAACTTCCCGAATGAACCATGCCTTCGGTTTTTCTCTTCCTCCTTTCAAAGGACGAGAAAGGAAAAGCAATGGAGTAGATGCGAGGACTGTAACTTCTAGAGACAACGGTTGCATCTCAGGGCTGAGATTCGGCTTGTGTGCTAGACTAGGGAGATAAGAACTTTTTTTGCAGATTGTCTGAAATAAGAATATTTATATTGGATACCAAGATTTTGCTTATTTGTTTTGTAATCACGGGAATGGAATTTAGGGCCTTATGTGTGAACTCATACGGGTATTCAGCGTTAACGAATTCGAATTGGAATAAGAGCAAAAACAAGCTGAACTTTGTAACTTGTGGCTTCAGTTTCATCACTCCAGAAACTGAGGCAGGAGGATCTATGCTAGCCTGTGGTACACAGTTCTAGATCAGGCGGAGCCATGTAGGGAAACCCTTTAAAATAAAAAATTGGAAAAAATAAAGCCAAAGCCTTTTTTTTTCTTTCGAGACAAGGTTTTTCTCTGTAGCCCTGGCTGTCTTGGAACTCGCTCTTTATAGACCAGGCTGGATTGGAACTCAGAGATCCACCTGCTTCTGCCTCCTGAGTGCTAGGGGATTAAAGGTGTGTACCACCACCTCAGAACTAAAATCAAAGCATTTCATAATCAAATTATACATAAAACAGCCAGGTGTGGTGGCCTGCCGTTAAATCCCAGCATGTGGGAAACAGTCTCCGAGTTCAAGGCCAGCCAGAGCTGCATGGACCCTGACTCAAATATGCTAAATCAGATCCCCACTGATTCCCACTCCACCCCACCCCGAAACAGGGTGTAACAGTCCTAGCTGTCCTGGAACTCATTCTGTAGTCCAGGCTGGCCTCAAACTCACAGAGATCCGCCTGAGTGCTGGGATTAAAGGCGTGCGCCACCACCGCCCTGCGATCCCCACTGATTTTAAGGGTGATTTTCTGCACTGTTATTTTTAGTTTTATTAGATTTTTATGTTGTGCATACTGTGTACTGCAGTGGTGGCTGGTGCCACGGCACACATGTGGAAGTCAGGAAATAAGGAGTCCGTTCACCCCTCCCCCCACGGGCTGAGCCCCAGAGATCAAACTGTCAGGCTTTTGAAGAGCACCTTTACTGGATGAGCCCTTCTGCTGCCCTTTTACATTATTGCTTGTTTACAACAGTCCAAGGATGTAAGGCTGCTAAAAATGAAACCATTAAATATTAAGACTGGCCGAAGAAATCAAGGACAGTGAGAATGGGGGAGGGGCACAAGTGATTCATAAGTTTCTAGGCAAAATGCCTGAGGTGAGAACCTATTGAATTCCTGGGAGGTCAACTGCAAATTTGACTAGTCTCCTAGAAGTCTCAGTGAAGAGAGGAACACAGTATATTCAAAATTTTAAGTGACTTTGAAATACAAATAAATAGTTCAGGAAAGGACAGTTTTTGTTGTTGTTAGTCATAAAAGCTAGTTAAAATGGATTTTATAGCAAGGCTTGGTAGCCTACATCTGTAATCCCATCCCTCAGGAGTTTAATGAGGAAGATAATGAGCTCATGGTGAGTCTGGGTTACATATGAGGCCCTGTTTCAAAAAAACAACAAAGGAAAACATGTCTAGTAAATGTCTTCATGAACTACAAACTCAGTTTGAAATGATCAAAGATGCTTGTTGAAATGTTGGGGAAGGGGATTTTTGTTTGGTTTTTGAGTCAGGATCTCCTGTAGCTTAGGCTGCCCGGCAGCTTCCTGCTAGCCCTCCTGCTTCCGTGACCAGCTTGAAAAGTGAAATTTTTGTTAAATCCTTAAACTCTGCGTGGGTGGTGGGTATCTAATCTCAGCCCTGGAGAGGTTGAAGGAGGAAGATAAGGAGTTCAGCGTCATCCCTACTATATTTCCAGTCCAAGGCTGGACTGATATGTGGGAGACTCTTATTCAAAAGCATGGTGAGGTACGCCTTTAATCCCAGCACTCTTGAAGCAGAGGCAGGTTGAGAGTTTGGGGCCAGACTGGTCTATGTTGTGAGTTCCAGGAAAACCAGAGCTATTTAGAGAGACCCTGTCTCAAAAGAGGGGGGAAAAAAAAAAGAATGCAAAAGGATAGAGCTGGGGTCCTGTGGTTTGGTTTCCTTTGGTTTTTCTAGACAAGGTTTCTCAGTGTAACAGTCCTGACTGTCCTGGAACTCAGTCTATCGATCAGGCTGGCTTCAAACCGGCTTCACCTGCCTGTCTCTGCCTCCCCAGTGCTGGGATTCAAGGAGTGCACCACCATTGCCTGGCTGGTCTTCTGTATTTCTATAACCAGCAAAATTGTTACTTAGCACAGTTCCATCACAGATGGTGATGTTGGGATAGTGTCTGAGAGTAAATTGAATTAAAATATAGCTTTCTTTCTTTTTTTTTTTTTTTTTTTTTTGGTTTTTCGAGACAGGGTTTCTCTGTGTAGCTTTGCGCCTTTCCTGGGACTCACTTGGTAGCCCAGGCTGGCCTTGAACTCACAGAGATCCGCCTGCCTCTGCCTCCGGAGTGCTGGGATTAAAGGCATGCGCCACCACCGGCCTGGCAAAATATAGCTTTCTTAATCTGGATTATTTTTTCAGATTTTTTTAAAAACATTTGTGCTGAGCTGGGGAAAGGGGGGTGGGGTGGGGTGGGGTGGCTCACACCTTTAATCCCAGTACTTGGGAGGCAGAGTCAGGCGGATCTCTGTGAGTTCAAGGCCAGCCTGGGCTACAGAGTGAGATCCAGGAAAGGCACCAAAGCTACACAGAGAAACCATGTCTCCAGACCCTCCCCCCCAAAAAAGTTGTGCTAATATTGACCTCTCTGATGATAACACTATTATTTTTACTACTAAGTAAAAAGACACAGCGTTCTAAATACTTGACTGGTAATTTCCAGGAAAAATTGATTTGGTCTACTTGTTTTACTGATAGCATATTTTCAGAAAATGAAAGAAACAATATATATAACTTCATCACCAGTAAATTCTCCATTAAAATGACTATTGATTATTTACTGACTGTTTTTTGAAAAATATGGAAGAGTAAGTGAGCAGAATGTTGTTTCCATGGAAACTTCTTGTTGCTGTCAGTAGATAGACTGATTATAAGGATTGTTTTTCATTTCACATATAATAAAAGCCACTTTCCAAGCCTAAGACATCTAATAATACTGTTGTTGTAATTTTATTCTAGGACTGGCTTCCTTAATTCTTTGATTCTTTTTGTTTTCTTTTTGGCTGAGTTGTCCCATCTTTGTTGTTCTGTTACTGATAACAGAATATGATTTTGCAAAAAAACAGTTCCTGAAATGATCTGTTACAAAATATTATCTTCATGTGACTTCTTCCTATTATAGCTCCTTTCCCCTCTTCCTCTGTCTTCTAAGGTCAAAATCAATTCAAGTTGAGGATTTCCTAGTTGAGTTAAGTAGTTCTTGTTTTTTGGCTGGTTGGTTGGTTCGTTTTTTCAAGACAGGGTTTATCTGTGTAGCCCTAGATGTCCTGAAACTTGCTCTGTGATCATGCTGGCCTTGAACTCAGAGATCCACCTGCCTCTGCCTCCTGGGTGCTGGGGTTAAAGGTATGTGCCACCACAGCCTGGCTTTGGGTTGTGGGGTTTTTTCTTTTTTTTTCCGATTTCTTTTTATTTGTGTGTGGATCTGTGTGTGTATTTGTGCACAAGTACAAGTGCCTATGGAGATCAGAAGAGGGCAGTGGGTCCCCTGGAGCCGGAGTTCCAGGAGATTGTGAGCTACCCAAGGGCACTGGGAACTGGGCTTGGGTCTTCTACTCTTGGCCACTGAACCATCTTTCCAGCCCCTACTTTTGTTTGGTTTTTTTGTACAGGGTCTCACTCTGTAGACCAGACTGGCCTCTGCCTCTCCAGTGCTGGGATTAAAGGTGTGCACCACACACTTAGCTACATTGATTTATTCTTTTATGTGTGTGGGAGTTTTGGCTGCCTGTATCTGTATACCATCTGTGTGCAGTGCTCTTGGATGCCAGAAGAGGGCATTGGGTCCCCTGGAACTGGAGTTAAGGACTGAGTGTAAGCTGTGTTCATTTGGGTGCTGGGATTGAACCAGGATCTCTGTTTTTTTTTAAATAAATGTTTAGTTTTGCAGTGTTGATGGTCGAGCCCACAGCCTCGGGAATGATAGGAAAGTGCTCCACCACTAAGTCATGTCCCTTGCACTCTTTAAAAAAAAAAACCCAGATTTTTGATAGCATATATTAATTAGTTGGGGTCTTTGTTATGACATCTTCATACTTGTGAGTCATATGTTTTGGTCATATTCACTCCAGTAACCTCTTGTTCATTCCCACTCTTCTTTATCCCTTCCCTCTTCCCAACTGGTCTTCCTTCTACTTACATGTTTATTTTAAAGATTTTTTAATTATATATATGTGTGTTATATGTATATGTTTGTGCACATGAGTGCAGCAGGTACTCTAGGAAGCCAGAGATGTTGGATCCTCTGGAGCTGAGATGACAGGCTTTGTGAGCCACCCAGTGTGGGTGCTAGGAACAACTTTGGTCCTCTAGAAGAGGACTCTGAGCCGTCTGTTCAGCCCTCATTTATTTTAAAATTTATTTATTTACTTTTGGTGACTCAATGAGTTTATTTATTTATTTATTTATTCGAGACAGGGTTTCTCTGTGTAGTTTTGGTGCCTGTCCTGGATCTCACGCTGTAGACCAGGCTGGCCTCGAACTCACAGAGATCCTCCTGGCTCTGCCTCCCAAGTGCTGGGATTAAAGGTGTGCACCACCACCGCCTGGCTCTACAAGTCTTAATGAAGGAGAGCTTCACGTGTGTCCTTGACTCTAGTCCTTTATTATGTATTGTGTGCAATATGCACTAATACAAGAGCCTCAGGTGTGCCTGAGGCGTCTTGTGAC